TAATTAGAATCCCAGACACCAGCACCTTCAAAGACAGCTCCTGGTTTCCATTTCAACTGAGTAGGATAAAGAGAAAAGTTAGAAAGAGAGGAGTGGAGAGACAAACAGTAACAGAGAAAGTCTAATAGGTGAGATAAAGAAAGGATTCACCAAACAATAATGGCTGTGTTTTTGACTGATTAGTCAAAGCGCTTGAGAGAGGAACAGAGGACTGCTCCAATGAAGCATTATGGAGTGAAAGGTTAGGACTGCTACGAGAAGGCCATAAAAGTTAAGAAAGACAGAATACCTCCTGAAAAAAAATATATATATGAGGGGATTTCAGAATTCACTCCTCCTTTTCCATCCTCTCTTCTTGGTCAAGCCTCCCCCTCCACTGAATCACAAACTGAATCCCCAAATGACTAACAGATTCCAGACACCACATTTCATCTGTCAGAACGTTGGGTTCAGGTTCTTTGACAGAGCGCATGCGGTCACATTGTTACTCTCTACCATCCCCTAAGGCCATTCTTGAGCAGGGGTGCAGCAGCTGAACTGACAACTTGACCCCAAGATTCAGTTGACAGTTATAGTTTTGCCTTGCCCTCCACATTAAATATAAGTTTCTGAACTGGACCCAAATAACAACACACCATTTTCTCTCACAAAGTGAACTCTGAGAAAGGAGCAAGGTCAAACTATTGCTTCAAACATTGTGGCTTTTTTAAAATGTTTGTCTGGTTTGGTTAGCAGCTGCACCTAATCCCCATTCATCTGGGACTGATTTTAGAGTGCCTGTGCTCGGGTAAGAAAAAGGGGGAACTGTTCTGTAAAAGGCCAGTTCTCTTCTGGGGCACCGGTCTCTTCTCGGTCCACCTGATTAAAGGGAATTTGGCTCAATTACGCCCAATGACTGGGCCCTGCTCTCAAGCACAACCCGGGTAGAAAAACATACAGAAATAGATTGTGGAGAGCCAATAGAGGGTGTGCATGCACCTCACCTGGAGTACTCCCATCTGTCCACAGCAAAACCTCACTCAGCTAACAGCACAATCTGTCAGCGCTGCTTGCCTCTGAAGGCAAGTTCTTTGTGTAACCCATGACTGACTTAGAAAAACAGTGGAGCTGGCTCTCCAGGGACGTGGCTTATGTCTTTTCCAATCAGCAGACTGGATGCTGGTGTGCACCAGGTCATGGTGATCTGTTTTAATCAGCCTCATGCCAGGAAAAAAAAAAAAGACGATGAAGATAAAGAGTAATCAAAGAAGCATGTGTGTATATGCATAGATGTGTTGTGTTTGAGGAGAGGGGCAGAACATTGAAAGTGACTGAGGACAATTACAGAGGTTAGGCTTAAAGCCAGCACTTTCTCTAAGGTTACAGTTTCATCATGCTGAATACTACCTAATCAATGACCCTCAAAGAGCTCACTGGCAGCTTTATCACTCAATAACAAGCTACTATACAGGCACGCAAAATCAAGACTATGCTGTGTGAGTGTGGTTAATCTGTGTGTGTAGCTTCTTAAGCTGGGAAGTATGAATATTTATTATGACCTCTCAAGCTTTTACAGGGCAAGCTGGTTGCAAATGTGCCCTGTTGTAAAGTTCACTGATTACAGCTGGCTTAACTATCCAGTTAAACCCATTATTATAAATCTAGTTCATGAGAGAGAGAGCGGTACACAAAGATGCACACAGGTCTTCAATGTCCAGATCTGCAGTTTATATGGAAAATGGGCCTGCTACCTCTCCACAGTTAAAAACACACTCACACTCGTCACTCTCCATCCCTCAGTTTTTCAGTCTCCATTTCAACCCCAACCAAAAAATAAACATTTCCCCTCCATTATTCTCCATCCAAATTATATTCCACCCACAACCCCATTTTACTGGCTCACGCTCCCAGGCCTCTTTATGTTGTGATACTCCAAAGAAAACAGTCCTACTGAATGTAGTGGATGAGCACAGCTAACCTAATACAAGCCAGCTTGCTGCTCCAATTACACACCATGTTTACCACAGCCCTTCAAATTAAACGAAGGAAAGGAAAAAAGAACAAATTCATCTTTATGTGCACATCAGGACTAAAATGACAGGGCGGAAATGCCCCACTACAGTTGTTTGACCTTAATCTATCAAGTGCAGAGAAAAAAGAAGACAAGGTTTCCTGTTGATTACAGTATTTTGTCTGCTTCGTAGTTTCTTTGTAAAACATAAGTGATATGAACTGAAGGCGATGTTGAACTAAAACACAATTATCCACAGAAAACCTACGGTGATAGATCAGAATCAGAAAGATTTTAACTCTGAAGGCCAAAGGGAACTTGAGGACAGCCTCTTGCTGAAGGGAACAAGCTGAATGATGGTAAAGTACGACACCTTTGCCTAAGTGCCTTTACAGTGTACACTGAAATACTGAGCATTAGTGGAAATTAATGTCTCTATGTTGCCATTACATTATAAAACATTGATTTAAAAAAAAAAGATACAACAAGACTGAGTAAACAACCAGCAATAACAAACATTATGACCTTGTCCACTACCAAGAAACAGTGATTCCTTCAGTTATCAGCGATTGCTGATTGCAGACTACGTCTAGGAGCTGTTTATCTTCATATAGTGTTTAGTCGGTGCTTAGATGGAAATGACTGAATGGGAAGTAGTGATTGTATTGTGCCCTCAGTTTAACTCCTGAAGTCACGTTTATTTTTGACAGTGTCTCGAATCAGACACCTTTACATTTCAGAACAGACAATAACAGAGGCCGAAGCTATAACAGCAGTAAAAAGTCTCAACAGGCCCTCAGTATAAGCTCCAGCTACATTTAGAAAGACCATGGAGCAAGGTGGAGTAGGTGAAAATGTAAGGCGAGGAATCATATGTATATGACAAGCTGCTAATAAACAAAATGAAAAGAGTAATTAGCATAAGGAAAAATTAACTTTAATGTAAATTTAACAAAAGAGTTTGAAGAAAACGGTGTAATAAAATCTGTATAGCTGGTGTGCCAACGTCTAACACAACCGCTCAGCTTTTGAGAAAAACAGAAACTGAAATATGCAATTTGAGAAATTTTATGAGACATCTCTCAGGGTCAATAAAAAGCATTACTGGAAGAAGAAATGTTGGGAAAGAACATTGTGACTATTGTGGCAAATAAGATGTGAAAAATAAGAAGCAAAGGGCAAGGTCTCATTTGTCATTGGACTGTCTATCTGTTTTATATCAGTGCTGGGGTGCAGCATCTGAAGGGGATGTGACCTTGGGAGTGATAGCTCTCTGACACACCATCCCAACATACGATAGCACGACTGAAGGGATTTAATAAAAGACATACTGCCAATGGGTCAACACATAAATGCAGGAAAGCGTTATTTGGCTGTTGGCCAAGAAAATGTGCACAAACCCATAAAAATTTACGGTACTGAGTAAGAAAGCATCTGGAATGCTCAACACGTTGTCCCCAGATGAGCCGGACATTTTGGAAGAAATCCTCATGTTACTACATCACATTTTCTTTAAGTTGAATCATCATCACACCTACAATACAGCAGCTACAGACTCTGTGTAAACCTCAACATTCTTCTTTTTACAAGCAGACACACCAGAAAGAAAAGCCTTCCTGTAAAATATACTTTTTAGCACCGTCTTCTGTGGGTTTTTGCAGACACACAGTTCTTGATGTGCTATTTGCTAAACTGCATTGTGGGATTTTTTCCAAACATCTAGTACATACAGTATATCACAAAACATATTTTTTTTTGGTAATGGGATATTTCTTTAAAAAGTATCACCATATAGCCTCCATTTTCATGAAATGAATGCTGCACCAAACAATGCAAAAGATTCTAAAAAGGCACTCAGACAGGCAGCTATCTGTCTCACTCGAATGAAAGAGGAAGTTAAGGAATGAGTGGCGAACACAAGGGCAGAGGGAGGAAGAAGAGCGGAGGTTGTTATTTAGGACCCCGCTGTGTCAATACCTCTCCCACACACACTGATTGTAAAGGGAAGAAAAAACAGCGACATGGGCTAATAAAAACTGCTCACACTTTACATAAATGTACACTGTTTATCTTCACACCTACTGCTCGTCAGCACAGTTTTTCATGTCTGTACCGAATAACAGAAGTGAAATCTTTGCTGCCATAGCTGTGCCACAGCAATAAAGATCAAACATACACCTCTCTTTCTCTGAGTGCTCTGTGCTGCTACCTCACTCCCTTTTTACAGTAATAATACATTTATATAATCCACTAAAGCATGCTGCATGACCTGGCAAAGTCTTGTCAGCTCCAGTTTGGAATGACTTGGCCTGCCAAACTGTTTATAATAGGACTAAAATGCACGAGCTGGATTTGACAAGGGAGCCCTCACTCCCACCCCCTCTGTTCCCTTTCTTCATCCATCCTTCCATTCCTTTCCTCCCTGGAGCCCGGCCACGCTCCTGCTCTGCTCTAGCTTTAGGCAGCCGTGTTTGGAAAAACAAACGCAGCGACTGGACAAGGTCAGGAGCAGAAATTACAAGTGGTGAGTCAAAGTGAAAAGTGTCAGTGTGTCTACTTCTGTTGCCTGACCCTTAGAAGTAGGTATGGACAGAGAGATGCAGAGCACACACACATGTACACACACACTGTTCTCTGCTGGAAGAGACTCTATGAGCTCTGCTCTGACCCAGGAAATGGCAAACATGTACACACACACTGTCCTCTGCTGGAAGAAACTCTGTGTGCTCTGCTCTGACCCAGGAAATGGCAAATATGTATAGGGACATTGTCACAACTTTGGCATCTCTGGGAGGTCTGCATGCCTCCTTCCACATATGTAAATGCCACATAACAATATTCACATACCACACACATACACTGTATACCAAATCACATACAATCACACTTTGTACTGTAGCACGTGACCCTTCTCACTCACACTGACAGACATTAAAGTGCAAAACTGTCTGTGTCATGACCGGGCCAGTCCGTTATGAGGGCAAGGATTGCACACTGATGCAGTACTCACCCACTCGAAGTGCCAAGTGACACAGAGCTGAGAGAAGAGCTCAACTTCCTGTTGTCCCAAAGCCTCACCTCCCGACTACGCATCTGCACACAATAAGATGAGACAGTAATGACTGCAAAGGGAGGCAGAAACAAAGTATAGACACCAGGGATAAAGCAGTAGAGAAGAGTTCTGTTATACTGAGTTAAAAGTCATGCCACATCTTGGTCTGCATAAAGCAGTTATATTCACTCCACTGTTAAGAATCATGGATAGTTAATATTATAATTAAAATTCAGGAAATAAATAAAGTCTGCTTGATGTAGTATATCATCCAAACACACAAATCATCACCAATCTCAAACTGTTTCCACAAAAACTGAACAGTATCGCTATCACGAAAGGTGGATTTATTGCAGAACCATTGTATTAGCACAATGTATATGCACATGCACTTGATTACATAAAAAAAAAAACAAATAATCCTGTCCATGTAATGTGTAAAAACACACTTAACAAGCCATGCCTAAGAGTTTCTCACCATATCAAAACCGCTGGTCAGTAAAAGCTCATCTTTGGCCCACAGGATGCGTGAATCCTTGTTGTTCTGGAGACACTTGGCACTCTATGGGACAAACAATGCAAACATTTAACTCAGGTACTCCCAACAGCATCACAACAAGACAATTTAAATACATTTTACCCAACTACTTGATCTTGAATTCTTTAAGTCAGTGTGTCTAAAATGATCCCTACATTTAAACATATCCTTGAAGTTCAAGATAACAAGGGGGTGACGAGTGAATGATTTGCAGGGAAGGGAAAATGGCAGAGAGGAAGGAAGACAAACAGGACTATTCCCAGATGCCTCTGACAGATCCCTGTGGTTGGACAAAACAGGGCTTGTCCCATGTAAGAAGCCGTTGTTGTTGCTTATGTAGCAGACAAGGTGACTTCTGCCCTGACTGCAGCTTAAATTACCAAATGAGACTGTGTCTGTGTGTGTGCTCATGGTGCTGAGACTTAGTTACGCTGTTACAATGAGGAATATGTGTCAAAACAGCACTGCCAGTCTGGGTATGACAGGTGGTCTTTAAATGTAAACGACACATGCTGCCAAAATTAATACCTAAAAACAACTGAGTGTTGAAATAAGAGAATGGCATGTTTGTAAAGACAACATGTTAAAATGGAGCAAGAGGGAAGTGAAAGGGGGCATTAATTCTGTGTGTGTTGTATTCAACATTCAGATGCTATTAGTTCAAGCCATAGAAGTATAGTAATTATGTAGATAAGGACAAACTAATAAATGAGGTTGGCTCATGTCAAACACACAGTTAAAAGTGTGGTTCTTTACTAACCAGGACTTTACAAGCCATAACATTTTGCTATTTATTGTTTATCTGTAAGGTCCCAACTACAGGTAATATCTCATATTTACAGTCGGTTTCTGGGTCCTCTGGTAAATACTAAAGTTCTACTGGAAGTCAACGGTGAAGTTTCCCTGGATCAGGAGCTGTTCGCCCCTCAGTTCACTGTGTCTTCCCAAACTGTTGTTGTCATTTTTATTGCCACACGAGGAGCATGGCTAGAGATCTGTGTGGCAATGACAGAGAGGCTTTTCTAAGGATTAACACTCAACCTATAGTGTGTGCCGCCTCATTCTCATGTCACTCTTAAATGGTTACAGGTGACAAATTGTTAAAAACAACTGAGGAGAACTTGATGCCATGGTGGCCCCCACAACATGAGGTAGGCTAATGGGCCGTGAAGTGTACAACCTTCATAGACAAACAACTATGTTTGAGTCCACCGGGCACTTTGTACAACTGAAGCTGAACAGCTGGATAGAAAGGGATGAACACAGAATATTATATCCAGTTTGGGAAGCACACGTGCACATGGAGGGACACATGTGGGTCCTATGAATTCTAACTCAAACCCCACTTTCTTTCCTCTCCTTTCTGACATCACTCTTATCACCTGTCTGGCCTGATGGTTTGAGAATCGACTGCTGAGAGGGAAACAAGGAGGTTCTAGTTATTTACATTTCTTTAAACTGTCTAAACCCAATCATTTATCACCAGTTGCTCTTTCCAAATCCTTACCAGGGTGCTTCTTGCTCTGGTACATGTGGACAATAAGTGATAATAAAAATAAATAAATGAAATGACACTTTCGTTGGCTTGCTGTAGTTGCAGCAAGCAGGAGATCTTACTTAGGACATAGAAAAATGGAGGATAAAGTTTGTCATTCTTAGTCTGTGGATTGGCTGTATGCTTTATTGACTTCAATAAAAAGGAATTTTACGAGCTCACTCCCTTCCCCATGTGAGTATTGTAATTGCATCTTATCTTGTTGAGTAGATACAGGTATGCAGAAAGGAGACACTGATTTAAGGATGAGTCATTAATCAACAACCACTTGGGGCAGTGACTAAGCACATGCAGCATGCCAACTCCACCAAAACCATAGGCTGTCACTTTTACATTTTCATTTCTGTAAAATTAAACAAATGAAAACGTGTAAATTAGTGCACTTTAGAGGAGTTAGCAGGCAAACTTTGAAACCCCGTAGTGGGCTAGACTTTATGCTAGGCTAAGCTAATTGCCAATTCGATCTATTTCACTATGCACAAACTTAACTGTGGTACCAATCTTCTCATCTAGGGAAAAAGCAAATAAGCTAATCTTGTAAAGATATGCATAGCTGAATAGATACCTCACATATCCATGATCTGTATACATACAGTTGAAATGAATATAAATCTCCTAACTGTGGGTTGGATGGAAAACAAGTATATTTCCCAAAATGATAAATTTTTTCCACCATAGGCACAGCTTAGGCCAAGACTCCTGTGCTGGAACAATCCCTGTCAGTGAAGCAGAACAACCTATAAATCATCAGCAGTCAGATGAATATTTGCTTACTGAGCACTGGTGATTCAAACTAAATTTATTATTCACAGCTATGAGGGGATTTAATAATGCTACCAAGAGCCTGGATTGATATCAAATCACAGTTGCACCTCTCTCAGGGATGATACATCTTTGTCCATACCGGTGGTTTATCCGACACATCTGTATGTTACACAGAGGGTTTCTGGCTAGTGGTGTGCTCCCAAATGGCTTTATTCTTCAAGAGGGATTAGAAAATGTTCTACTGACCTGGCTCTCAAGCATATTTCTAAAGTTACGCTACCAAAACATTGACAGAGTTCATAATAAGTACTGGAATAAATAAACATTTAAGTCAGGGCTGAGGATTTATATACATTTCTGCCTGAAGTCAGTCAGTCAGTATGCCTCATGCAGGTAAATGAACTCTTATTTGCCTTGATAAGTCCATGCAAGTGAGTCATTTAAAATAGCACAGATGTACAAGACAGTTCCAGAGTAAACTAAAAAGCAATAGATCAGAATAGAGCAGGGGAAGAAGATAGAAAGGCTGAAGCTCAATATAAACAGACAGAGAGAGTTCATTGCCACTGAGCTGTTCATCACCGGCACCACTGGCTGATTTCCTTCCAGGGGCAAGACGATATAGAACTGGCATTCTGACCAAACTAGGAGCAAGTTGAGCTCAAACTATTTTAATGTGCTCAGGGCCTGTATAACACTGGTGCTGCTTTTTAGGGGCAACATGTGGTGTCTGATTCATATTTCTGGTTAACAGCAGGCAACTCGGGTTGTGCTCAAATTATATGAAGGAGTAAACACCAAAAAATTCTGCATCATCACTTTGCCATATTCAGTCATGCTGGTCCATCGCTGAGCGCCAGATGTGTGTGTCAGTGTAACGCCTGTTTCCCAGTGAATTATAGCAGTTACTCGCTGATGAACTAGAATGTAGCCTCATAAGGAAACAAGGAGTCTACTGCCATGCTAGAAGCTCTGGGAGGCTGTGCTTTGAGCCTGATGGTGACATCAGTATGCTGACATTCACACAATGACAGTGATAACATGCAGATTTTCAGAAAATATCTTTATCATATTCAGCATCTAAGATGAGTGTGTTAGCATGTTAACAAATGCTAACTGGCATTTAACTCAATGTACAGCTGAGGTTGAGGGAAATGTCATTAGTTCAAAGTGGAGTACTGGACAAAATAAAAGATTGTCCTGATGACAGGCTTGATGAAAAGATAAAGAATCACAATGTGTATTAGAATTAATTCTCAAGGGAACATGAATGCGTGTACCACATTTCATAACAAAGTACCCAACAGAGACCTTATACTTCAAACCACAAATGTCAACATAGTAGTCCTACAGGAAAAAAGGTAAATTTAGGAGATCACAAAAATCAATAAGATTCAGGGGAGCAATAAAGAAAAACGCTAAAATTATATCATGTTTCTATGAACCGTCTTTGGAGCAGATAAGCTCAGTTTTGCCATTACAGCATCCCGCAGGCCTTTACTATGCTGACCCAGCCAGCTACAGGGCTGAAGACAAATCAACAGGCCTGATGTCTCACACGACAGACTGCTATACATGCTCCAAAGATCACACTACCATGATATCATTCTTCATCCGGATCTGAAGGAATGTGCAGCTTTAAGCCTATAGACGAAGATGTCGTAATACACTGGCAGCAGAGATGCAGAAGTGTAATTGAGGCTTTGTGCTGGGTCTCCAATAAACAGCGTTTCAGCTTAAGGAAGCGTAACGTAGCTGTCCGAGACCAACATTAAACTACTAACACCCCAGGGCAGCCAGAGGACACAGCACCTGGATCTTCTGTGTGTGTATGTGTGTATAAATGCTGCCAAACAGTATCTCGTCTCTGCAGTTGTAAATATAACTCAAATCCCATTCACCTACACAGCCCCCGTCCTCATGGCTGAACCTTACCAACATGCTACAAATAGATCATGACAAACATTGAAAGGCTGGAAGAAAAAGAAGCCAAATGGTTTCCTTAGGAGTCAAACAAATAATCCAGGCTGATGGAAATCACAGAGAAGGACTGAGACAAAAGAGAAATGATTCATGAGGTGACAAAATATGTGTAGGAGGTGAGAATCAGTTACACCTGCTCAAATGATTGGATCATGCATATAATCGAGAAAGTAGAGGAAAAGACATCACATCTGGGAAAATTTACAGCACAGGTGTCTGCATCAATATGTGAGAAAACACGTCTTAGACTTCTTAGCAGTAAATCTAATGGCCTAGGATTAATAAATAAAGTGTATTTGGCTGTGATAATACTAAGCTAACTCAAATGGCACCAGTCAGGGTTAAACTAAGGTTGAACGCTTTGCAGACAAAGATGTAGACACAGAAAAATGCCAGTCAGCAGTTTGGCCAATTATGGTTTTATGGGCCCATTAAATATCCTCCCAATATAAACAAATGGGAATGGCTCCAGCTCCTTCCGTCCTTCTCTCTCAGCTATTTAACTTCTAAACTGCAACTGAATGCACACCTGTGTCACTCACACTGATTCCCCCACCACAACAAATATCAGGTATCTGTATACACACACGGTCAAAACCCCAAACTCTGCATGTCCCTTCATTTCTCTTACTGATGCTCTGCCAATAAGTAAGTAACATTATCTCTCTTTCCACCTGTCTGTGTATTATGTCCATGGGGGTGTAAGTATTTAACAATTAGT